GGTATGGTCCAAAATGCCAAAAGGTGGCTGCAACAGTGCAGTCAAACATTTGCCTGGTTTTTAAGAAAAAAATAGCCAAGATGGCAGCTGTATCCCTGTTTTACATGTGTTGCACAGTACATGGGGCTTCAGTCATGAAGTTGTGGTGGTCTTCTTAAGATTTGTGTTTTTTAGTCTCCCTCCCACGCCCCGGGCACCCCTGGAAGCATCTCATTGGTTCTCTGTCCCAGTCCCATCCTAACAATTATCTGATGACACTGCAAGATATTCTGTAAAGCGGAAATGGTTATAGGTAGTTATAGCTGGTTTATACCAGGTGGACTGCTCTTCTGGTCGGCTGTGACTTTTGCTATATGTACTGTTTTCTTTTTATTTTTAAGTCACCCAGAGTTGTCAAGGAGTCAGGCAGCCTCGAAGTTTGATAAATACATAAAGAACAATCAATATTGTTCAGTCAATATTTCCAAGGATTGAAAGGATCTCTTCTTGGTGCAAATGTTTACGGATCTGTGTTGCTTCCCGCTCAACATGCACACAGCACTGATCACAGCCTGACTCATTTGTACGGTGCTCCCACAAGGAACAATTTGTAGAGAGCTGTCCCGCATCAAGAGGTTGTGTTGGTTGGGCTCAACAGATATCAGATGGAGATGGTCTGTCCCTGGAAGGAGGCCAGGGGAGCAACACCTAGTCCTGTTCAGCCAGCTTCATTTCCGATCTTCCCCAAGATGTGTTGCTTCATTCCATAAGAAATTGTTCTACAGTATAGGTTTGACACTCTTGGTCTGCCTGTAATGCACAAGCAGGCTTTTCTAACAGCTGGGAGGTTGTGCCATTGCAATTAGTAGGCAATGAGCAATGCTGTGCTAGATAAAATTGCCAGCCAATTTGCAATGACGCACTCATTACCTGATGATTATCAGAGTGATTTAACACAGCTGGCTTTCTCCAGGCCTCGGAGAAGCCTATTTAAATCAGCTCGGTTTGCAAAATGGATCTGGAGGTCTCTCAGAGAGAAGAGGCATTGTAAATTCCAGGCAGCCTGTGCAGCGTTAGAAGGTCCCAAAGTCACTATGACTTTATCCAGAGTGTGTAAATTTTAAGAGAAATGTTTGTATGCACAGTATGCTTTATGTGCTATTCTATGATGATGGATTTTTTCCTCACAGCAAACACAATTTCTTAATGGGTAGAAAGTTAATTTTGACCTGTTGCCAAACCAGGCAGGAGCAATACTGCAGCCCGTTATTTCTGAGGTCTTGCTATACAAATTTCCCTTTTTACATCCAATTGCTGGTTGTGGTATGAATATTAATTGATGCCCTCTAGTATTGGCTGTGATTATAGCACAATCAAGGTCTGCACACCAATTATTAGCTTCATAATTGTAAGAGAAATAGAGTTTGAAAAATCACACATGTTTTATAAGTGTTGCTTACAGTTATGCTGTATTCACTAACTTTTGAAAGACTGAAATGGGGGCTTTGCAGGTACGGAATGGGAGGCTTCATATGTTGAATTAAGTTGTGGCTTGATTTCACTGTGATTCTTTGTCACACCTTCTCTGTCTCAGCTTCCCCACAAAGATCTGTATGTCTCCCACCCTGATGATCTTCCAAAACATGGCAGTTCTCCCAGGCTTTGGGGTAAGCTGGCTGTCAAGCCCCTGTGTGTTGTATATGTTTTTTTCCTGGATGTAGACAATCTTTTTCTTTATTTTATTGATTATATATGCAGTCTTTTTTCTTTATTTTAATTCTTCCTTAACGAGGCAACCTCTATAATGATCAATGACCAAGGCAACAAGCAGTATATGGATATTGTGGGGAGAAGCCCTATAGGCATTCATTCAAATCAAAGTTCTGGGGTGGGTTTCATAGTCTTACTATAGCAAAATGAAATCCCAGCAAGTTTTTCATCTTGCAGGTGAAAAAGAACTGCTTCAGGAATGTAACTGTGAGATGAAAAACAATACTGAAGGGGAAAACCTGAGGTTATCATGCTCCAGACCCTAAGCCAGTGTTGATCCCATTTTCTTTTTTAAGAACTGTGGAAGAGGAAGGTCCACATGGATTTGTGTGATGGATCATGAGCGACAAGGTAGTGAAGTCCTGTGATCAAAATGAAGAATCTGAGATAATCACTAAGCTGGATGATTTAGGGGTGGGGTTTGCCTTACACATGCAAAAAAAAGGGGGGGGGCAGGATTTCCATCATGCAGTCTCAGTTGCCATCTTGACTTTTTTGGCCCTCTCCCCATGGACACCACTGGTGTCTTCTTTTCAGCATCAGCTATTGCTCCCTCCATTGGTCACCATGTTTTGGCCATGCTGGGCCAAGATTGCCTGGACAGGGGCAATGTTAGCCCAGCAGTGGGCCAAAACATGGTTTTGGGGAGACAACAGTTGGTGGGCTCCTGGAATATGTCATAGGAAATGTCTTCCACATGTCCTATCCTTGTCTTTCCATGTCTCAGTTGACCTGCCATGCCTCCATCATGGATGTCTTTCAATAATGGAAAGCAATGACATCAGAGTGGAGGAGTGCAGCCAGGTTTTATAGCATTTTTAGTGGTTTGAAGACTGTAGTGTACTTCTCTTTTAAAAAAAGAAATGAGCAGACATTAGAAATCTACAGTGGTCCTACTGGAATTAGAGATAATTAGGAAGAGGTGGGAAGAGGCTTAACTTCCCTCATCATTTTTCTGCCTCTGTACATCCTCTGCACACCATTGTCCAATGCTCTGCACACTGTTGGGGAGGGTGAAAAGAGCCCTCTTTGTCAGGGGTGATGTAGTTGGAGTAACTTTGTTTTGTGTGGCTTCTTTATTTTGTCTGGAGGTAAGAAATGAGAGTTAATCTTTAATTAACCCACTCTTTCAGATTTGGATGACATGAGAAGCCCACGTTAAGTTAGGTTCCCTTGTATACTTGGTCATTGGCTTGGCCACAATGGTGACCCCAACATCTCCAGGTGAAAGGGTGTGCTCAACCACTGAGTCTTTATCTATCCTGGTGATCAACATGGCCTGTGATTTTCACTATACACAGTGTGCATAAACAGATATGACTTAACATTCCATTTGAGCCAGGAAAGAGGAAGTAGTTACATTTCCAAGCCTTTCTTGAGCTGAACATGCTAAAGAAAATATAATGAACAAATTGACCAGACTAAACTGTAAGGTAGTTTAATCTATACTGATGTCCAGCTCAAGATAGATGCAGTGATTAGATCTGCAAAGAGGGTTGGTGGGTTTTTTTTTTTTTTGCTTTGATACAAAGACTGGGCCACAATATCCAAGAATGGATTACATTAATTCTTGTTGTTATGCAGATTATAGATGGCCTTTTTCTCAATGTGAAAGTTACGATAGTTTTTTCACTATCATCAAGGAAGCCAACTAGGCTAGGAATTTGTGACTAGCGGCTGAACAGTTTAAATTCTAAAACTAAGTAGCATGATGGTTGGATCATTTCTACCACTTTGCAATAAGGGGTAACTTTTGTTGTTGATATCTAGAGATCAAAACTAAAAAAAGAATTTGTGACTTCATAAGCCTGAACTAAACAGAAGAGGAAATGTTGCCTTCATTGACCGTCTCCCTGTTTGTATGTGTTCATGCTGCAGTGGGAGATGCAATCTTAAGAGGATGAAAAATTCCTGCCTCCCTTCCTTTTGTGCTAGGGATAATCTAGCACATCTGGACCTGAGCAGGTTAGGGAATCTTGATCCAGAGTGTATTAAATGCTGGTGTTGAATTATTTATGCTTTTGGCTTGGCTCAGGAGATTTTGTCTGCAGAAGAAAAGTGAGGCAATAAATCAGTCAAGCAAAGAGCCCAGTTAGGGGACAGCAGAGCACAAGCTGTTATTTAACTCACAAAACCCAGATGGCAAAGAAAGAGCTCAGCCAGAAATGGAAGATGAAACAGGAAGGAGCAAACAGCCAAAGGTTTGAAATCTGGGTTTGGTCACATTGGTTCTGGAGCACCATAGGAGAGCCTGTGGTCTCCAATCATTCAATGGATGGAGCTCACGATAAAACTGTTTTGTTTGCTCCTATGTAGCCAGCAGTGGAAGGCATAATATTCTAGCCACCCAAGAGTACTGCAACACCACATTGGACATAAAATGGGGAAGAACACTGGGGGTGAGGGTGGAGAGAAGAGTTAATTCTTTTCCTGGAGTGCCCTTTCTTCAATTTGTCAAGTATTTCCAAAACTCTGGGAGACTGTGTGAAAGCTGTGATCTCAATCTCCCAGGATTTTTGCTTTATTAATAGGCAGCTCCAGGAGACACTTTGCAATCTGGAAAAGGGAGACCCCAGGAAAAGAGTTAGCTTCTTCTTTTCTCTAACTTCCTTTCCCACTCTATGGGTAATTGTGGTGCTGTGGTGGCTAGACCAGGTTCTGATTGGTCATGGTACTCATTGCATGACCCTGGGCAGATACATCCATCTACTTTGCAGGTATGATATGAAGATAACAAAGAAGAGAAATAATATGCCATCTTGACCTACTTGGAAGAAGGGTAACAATAATGAACAGCTAGCTCTCCATGCTGCTGATAGCTTTGTGGGAGAAAAGAAAGAAGTACAACCTCTAAATATGGCAATTCATTGGACTGAGAACCCTGCATCTTGATCCACCCATCTGAAGACCATTGTTCCAGTCCAAGCAAAAAAAATCAATTTCTTCCAGCAGATTTGCACAGGGATTCTCTTCTAAATTCCTTGATATATGAAGCTATCAACTGAACTTCTAAAAAAGATCTTGCCAAAGTCTTTTTAGGTAATTGTTACCAGGTTTAGAACAAGCCAACCCAGTGTTATCTTGCCCTCTGTATCTGAATCATTGGAGCCTTCCCTGATCGACTCAAGCAGAGGCTGGACAGCCACCTGGGTTTGGATTCCTTCATAGAACAGGAAGTTTGATTCGGAGGCTCAAATGACTCCTTCCAGATGTAGGTTTCTGTGATTCCATTATCAAATATAAAATGGATACCAAGTTTACACCTTTAATCTTGAATGAGATGCTAACATGAGAGAAGTGGTTTTCATTTCATTGCCCATAAACATCTATTAGCACATTTGGAATTTAGGTGTTTCTGAGAAATATAATTGTCCTGCCCTGCCTCTTAGACTTGTCACGGTACAAGTATTTTCTGTCTAAAGTTTCAAGGGATCCCTGTTGCCTTCCCTTTTTCACTCATTAACCGGATGTCAAGCTCCCGAAGTTGGCTGAGGAAACCCGTGTTTGGACAGACTCCTCTGTGTTCTCGCACAGTCTTTAGGGCCTCCACAAGGGTCTTGCTTTCATAGATCATCAAGAAAGCAAGCACAAGGGTTGCTGATCGGCTTATCCCCATGGCACAGTGAACTAATACTTTCCCTGCAAATAAAAAAGTAGTAATATTATGATATATTCCCATGTATAGGTAATACAGTAAATGCCAAGAATTGTGGAAAACATCAGAAATCTTTGGGTCACAATCCTACTTTTTTTCCCTTTTGTTTTTGTTTTTTTCTTTTTTTTTTACGTTCTCCTCTGACAAAGTCAACTAGTTGTCTTATGCTAATAAATAATGATGACATCTGGACAGTTGCTGGAATATTTCTGTCACCAGTTAATGTTAGTCATCCGTTTAAGACTTAAGGCTTACTGATATGTGCACTCAGCTGACATAGGTAAACTAGATCTCATTCCCAGTGGAGGACAGAATGAAAAAGCTCCAGCAGTTTCTTATTCTCCTCTGTTTTTTCTTACTTCCACATATCTTCTCATCCATACTCCATCTTTTCTTTTTTTTCCTGGTATCATGTAGACACTCTGTATATTACATTTATTTAATTTCCACGGTATTCCTTCTTTTATATAAAGGCAGTTTCTGTGGTGCTCCCAGGGAGTCTTTCATTCAGAGCTCCCAGGCTGTGGACATTTCCCCACTAATGACTGATTGTGTCTTCACAGCAGCACCATGCAATTCTTGAAGTAATAGGAAACTTGTACTGTTATTTTTGACACAATGATGGCTGGATAACTCTGGAAGATGCGATATGTTGCTATTGCAAAAATTACCCAAAAACCTTAGTTTTAACAATGCCTAGCATAAGATGCATTGGAATAATTATTTTCCACCCAACTTTTTACAAATAAATATAGGCAAAGGGCAATGAACATGTAAATGTGGCTTGGGTGGAGTTCAGTGGACCAGCATTATAACCTGCCATGCAAGGGAAGGTCCAGTGCAATAAGACTTTAAATAACTTTAAAGTAATTTGTTACATTGTTACCATTTATGGTTAACTGGTTCTATCTTGCAGATGTAGAACAGATGAACACCATTAGGTGACTATCTCAAGAGACCTAATCCATAGCAGAGTATTCTTAAATAATTACAGTGGTACCTTGGGTCATGAACTTAATTCATTCCGTGACTCTGGTTGCGACCCGAATTGGTTGCGACCTGAATCAAATTTTCCCAT